TAGAGACACACATGGGGCAACCTGGGACATGAACGTCAGGGGTGGGTCAGCTGTGCGTGTGCACGTGGGCAGCACTTGCTGTAAGTTTGGTGTTTGGCTTTTCAAAGACTTTGCACTTTTTTTTTGCATACTTGCAAGGTCTCTGACGTTTGCCTGTCCTGAACTCTTGGGCTGCTGCTGCAAGCACAGAAAACTCAAAAACCATACCAGAGCTGGTTATTTTTTTCTGGACAAACAATTTTATTTTAGGTAATGCGTCTATACACTGTACATTCAGTCACTGTGGTATATAAGCATAGCTATTTTCATACATAATCTCATAAAGTCCTTTATTTTACAATATTATCTGCTTCAAGGGGAGGGGATGTGGAAACGGGGGTGGAAAAGGACTATCAAGGTACACAGCGAAATAGATAAATATGCCAAGCTTTTTTCTTATTTTTTTTTAAATCAGGCATTTATAAACAAGAAAGCATACATTACTTACATAAAAATAGTTCTAGAATAGTAGAGTAAGTCATAATATTGTCATTAGCAGCAGCATAGGAGAGACCAGGATAACAAAAATGTGCTGAAATGCTATTGGCTATTATAAATGTAAAGATTTATTTTTCTTCAATTGAAAAAATGTCATTTCTGTGAGTTCTTTTGATTTAAAAAAAAAAAAGAAAAAACCAAAACAACAACCAAACCAACAAAAAACTTCTCTCTAAAACACATGGACTGATGAGAGGGCAGAATGGAAAGAAAATCAACCTTTTGGTAATAAAATACTTTACAGTGAAAATAAGGACAAATAGAATGCAAATGATGGAGAAAGGTTAACCCACATTTAAAACTTGCAAAAAGATTTTGTTTTGTTTTTCCTAACAGACAGCAAAGGTTCTTCTTAGTTAAAAACACAACTCATAAAACAAGACAACTACCAGGTAAGAAAGAGTTTTGAAAAAGTAAACACCATATACACTTATAATACAACAGTGTAAAATGAAAAAAAGTATTTACATGTTGAAGTTACTTTTAACTTTTTTTTTTACATTGGCTAGTTCTGTTTGAAAAGCAGAATATTATGTATACTAGTTAGCTGCTCCATAGATATGAATGTTATTGCTGTTGGTTTTTTTTCCCTTCCTTAAGTCTTCTTTCAGTAATAGAAACAATGAGTAATTAAACTGAATATACAAGTATTAAGTAATATATTGTTAAGTACAGGGAGAGTCAACAGCCCGTATGAAACACCTCTTCTCCCTTTTAACTTCTTCAAGGAAACTAAAGAGCAGATGAAATGAGAAGATGTGACTTTACAATTCCTACACTCGCAGGTTGGAGTGCAAATGGAATGCAGCAGGGACTCGACAGTAAGTCGAAAGAAAAGCAATTCCATCTGACAGGGCTAACAATTGTTTTACTGAAGTGTTGCAGACGCAGAAATTACACACACAACTCCCTCACCTCGAGCACCTTCACCAATTTTGTTTTCTCTGAAGATTCGCACTGTGTTGGCAGCCCTTTGCTAGAATTAGTGTCTGTGTGGCCGTATTCTGACAATTTTAAAATAAATTACATGCACAGGAATTCTGAATTAAATTATTATATGTTCTGCAGAAATAATTTAAAATGTTTTTTAGGAAAGACAAAATCATTTAGGAGAGACACCTCTCCAGGTGACGAGCAGCTGGGGTAGAAGGTTTGTTCCCAGTCCTCTTGCACCTGATTTCATCTTACTGATTTCAAACCTTAATTCATTAAATGATTTTTACTGGGATGTTTTCACTCCCAAGGATATCAAATACTATTGAATCTTAACCTCAACCATTGGGAAGCTCGTTTGCATACATCACACTTTACAGAATTACCCCAATGCCCGGCAAAAGCAGCAGCCGTGGGTTTGTAGCAACAGCTGTAGCTTTAGTTTGGAAACCTGCAGATCGCATCCCATTTAGGCGTGAAGCGCAGGTTATGCTGGTTGTTTAACGAGACTATGTGCTATTGATAAGACTCTTTACTGTTGTGGTTTTTTTTTCCTTAGGAAAAAAATGCAGATTTTGTTAATTTGGAAGTTTTTGTGCATCATATGCACAGAAGAAATGGTGCCAGTGAATCCATACACTTCCCTGGACACTCCAGAAAGAAAACCTCTGTCATGTGCGGCAGGTAAGTGAGACACTTTTCCTCTGAAAAAACAAGTAGAGATGGACACGTTGCCATTCTGTGTCGATTCATAAGGGGAGAGACACAATGCAAAACCCAAACAATCAGAATTTTTACAGTAAGGCTTCAA